GTTCAATCTTTCGTTTTAAGATAGTGCTAAATAGTTTAGGTATACTCCTACACCCAGCTCAGTTTCTCAGTTTTCCAGGGTTTTCCAGGGATAAATTTGAAATTCCAGGGTTTTTAAGGGTTTTTCAGGACTAAAATAAAAATCCAGGGTTTTCCAGGATTTCCAGGGGCGTATGAACCCTGTCTAACGATATTGACTGTGGTGTTTTCGATGGATTGCTGTCTGTTAGCAGCGTCTCTTTCACGAGCGTGTTCGTTTTCATCGTCGACAAATAGATTTTTTCTTCATGATTTTGTAGCTAATAATTTTGTGCGATTAGAGAATTCAATTTTCTTTAGCCGACATCCGTATATTATTTTATTTTGAAATTTGAAAACATAAAGCAATCTATATTACTCAATTTGACATGTAAATTTGCAAACGTAAGCAATCTGTGTGATTGGGCAATTTTGACATCTGTTGAAAGTGGCGTAGCCCTCAGGCTAAGTGGGCGGAAATGGCAAAACAGTAGATCTCGTGCAGGCTGTCCTTTCCCTGATAGCCGCTACGCTGGCTATGTTACTTGATATAACTCAATGTCAAAAAATTTCTTTCTTTATATTTCTTTGTGCTATATTTGCGCTCGGGCGTCGTGTTTCCACACAATTTCTCGTTTTCCCAATTCCCACTCGTTTTATATAACTGTATATCAAAACGTAAAATATTTTATATTTGTTAAATATAACTTACCGATTGAATAGCATTAATTACCTGTACATTTTCATTTTTTGAGCATCGCATATCTGATTCTCGCGAAAATTCTGAATGCCATCACATAAATTTCTGAAGCACTCTTCGCGAAGTAATCGGTAATTAATATCCAAATATTCCTCGGTGGACGTGTAGGGTGTTTTGCGTTTAATGGCTTCGAGAGATTTTAGATCAAATGCTAAAAAATAAACAAAAATTTATTAACTCACGAAATAATACAACATTGTATCGGTGTTTGGATATGAGAGAACTGCCGAAAGAAATTCCATATTAAACAAGACGCTCTGTTGAGCGTTTAGTCGCTGGGGCTATTAAAATAAGGTCTTCTGCGCAGGCCTTCTGCGCTTATTGCTCTCTCTTCTGAGAGCAGTGTATAAGCGCAGAAGCGCTGGGTACGAGGTTGATATCATTTATTGGATTTATCTGGCTTAGGCCAACTTCGAGGACACTGGAAACCAGGCTTAAACAAATTTATTGCAACTCCACATTTTGACCCTTCAACTGATTTTCTCAAAAAATTTAATGCCACCCCCCCCTTCTAGTAAATTATTTATACTCATGGGGTCATGGCCCCACCTTTTGCCTCCCCCTCCCTCTTCCATAAATAAGGACTGGTCCCTAACTGCAGGAAAAATATGTGCACTTCACAGAACATTTATAACAATTCATAATTTATTACTTTTGCCTCAGGCTGGGTAACCACAACAGAAGTTGCCAAATAGGCCCTTTCAAGGTAGCTTGCGTGTCAGGCTCGATGCTTGAAATAGAGCCTGTTATATCCTGTGAGCAAAGTCCTCTCGGATTTCTTCTCGGCACGGCACGGAGAAGCGAGAGAGACTCTGCAGAACTGTGTATAAATTCATTTGAGCATGCGTGAAGGTTGCTAAGCAACTGCCTATTTCCCAGAAGAAGATTTAATAAGTAGTTTCCGGTTCGGATCAAAACCGGTTATAAAACTGGTATCAAACCTGAAATTACTCATAATTATAAGTTTTTGGATTGTCGGCTCCACAAAGAATATATACAAGTTCTGCAGAGTCTCTCTCGTGCTGAGAAGAAATACATGAGGACTTTGCTCGCAGGGTAAGCCTGTTACTGAAGTCAATAAAAAGTGGACAGTGATTGGGATGCACAAAAATAACAACCAATCAAAATGGCGATTGTTAATTATGTATCAGTCAATTCCAGCAGTGCCCCCCCCCTTCCCCGAGGTATTAGCCATTTCTGGGAAGAAAATGGCTATGCATGTCCACAAGCCATTTGCAATCAAATTAAATATCAGTTTCCCAGCAAATCTACCAAATCCCCCATGATAGAAAATGTCAAAATCCTCACCCCAGGGCTAAAAAATATCGGCAATAGCCCCACCCCCACCCCATTGTGTTTACACAACCTTGCAAATTTTAATACTAGTAGGAATTTCCATTGTGTTTGCAGCCCTTACACTTTGTGTTTCATTATGGCATCTTGACCTTGAAAGAGTCTATTACTGTGGCTCCAACATTTTCCCGTTCGGCGTTAGAAACACACTACATTGATCATAAAATGACTGGAATATTACAGATTTAAAAGCCTGACACCTAGCGGCAAAGTTTAAATTTCACACAAGTAGTGATGAATGATGATCACTGTGGTTGTATTTCGGTCTTGTTAGGCTACACCATGTTCTTTTGACCACCTATCCGTAACAGGATTATTTGCATCAACAGCCGTAAAAAAAGCACCCAAATAAACAGCAGTTTGCGAATATTATTGTTGCGATTTACAAAGGTTGCGGCCCGTTGACCCCCGTTCCAAGTTCCAACTTTGTAAAATTGAAAATTGTGAACTTGTCCTCTATTTCAAGCTTGTAGCCTTCCAAGTTTACTCACATAAAATGACTTTCGCTTTATAAAGCCTGTTTCATCGGAAACCTTTTAAGGTTCATCGGAAAAATAAAAAGAATATGTACAAAATCGATGATACCATTCGCTCGTAGTAAGCGGCCATCTTGAATTCAGCGACGAATAGTAATGACGTAATTTTTATTTTTTATTAATGACGTAATTGTCATTTTGTGGCTAACGATCCAAGATCCGACACAAATGCGTGCCGAAACCTAGAGTCGCTGCGGGCTCTGCCCAGCGACTAATTAAACCAAATTTGCACATGCAGTTTTCTCTTTAAGTAGTGACTAAATATAGACTTTTAAAGGCATATGGCAATATATTTTTTATTATTTCATTTGGAAGAACTGTTAAAATTATATTAATTTCTTTTACCGATTTTACGTAACTTTATTATCTCTTGAGATATTTGAACAGCAAAAATCACAAATCAGCGAGCTTTCCGCCATCTTGGATTTTGGCGGATATGCATGTGACATCATAAGCAGGGTCACGCAAGAATTTTATTCATAGAGCAATTGGTTACTGTGAGCCCAAAATCATATATTATTTCTTGAAATATTTTTACTTAAAATAATTTGCTGTCCGCCATCTTGGATTAATTTTTATTTCATTATCGCCTTTTATCGGTGATTTTAGTGACGTCATAAGCAGGGTTAGCAATATAAAACTACATCTAAATGACCAAATAACATTATGTGTTGTTTGAAAAGTTGTCAGACAGTTTTTTATTTCAAATAGTTACTGAAGTAAGTTACGCAAAATCGGTAAAGGAAATTAACATATAATTTTAAAAGTTCTTTAAAATGAAATAATAAAAAAAATATTGCCGTATCCCTTTAATAAACGTAATATCAAACACTCGATCGGAAAGTTGTTTAATCCAGGTATACAAAAACGTGCAACTGGGACTGTTCGGTATACCGATATACCGAAAATATCGGTATTAAAACAATATCGGTATATCGATACCGGATATTCAACCATACCGATATACCGAAATTTCGGATATATCGGAATTTTTCGGTATATCGTGTTAAATTTACCAACTATATGGCGAAACCATAACCTTTATCTTACTACTGAATGGCAATTCAGAGAACTTTCTACTGCAATGATTTAGAATTTCCACTTCGGTGAGATTTTACACTGAGTACGTGTCGTTCGAAACATGTTCGAAACAGCTTCGAAATTATCGTTTTCTCTTTTAGAATTACTCAAAATTTCCTTCAAATTCCCATTAAAGAATTTTCCTTTATAATTATCAAAGGAAAACCGGTATACCGATAATATCGGTATAATTTTTTCGGTATACCGATACCGGAAATTTCTCATACCGAACATTCCAACGTGCAATTATATAAAAAATTATAAAACGAAAGAGAAAGACATAACTCGCTCTGCAAACATCTGAACAAAAAGAAACGAACTTTGTGAAAGTACATGCAGATCGAAAACTTTTTCATCATGCAGCAAACACAATCAAATGCAAAGAAATATAAAATAATGACTTAAAAAATAGAACAAAGAAAGGAATGTTATGTTTTGACGTCCCGATTTCAACCACGAATACTTCAGGGGCCCACGGATCAAAATTTATAATTCGGCGGATAGCGTATACGTGGAGCGGTAAGTAGTTCATGTAAGACCCACAAAACAGTTTGCACAAATTGTAAGGTATGTGTGATAATAAAAGTAAGTCATAACCCTTACCCTAACCCTATAACCGTAGTTTTAACACCATCTAACATTGTACTCACCGGCCAAGATTTCCTTTTCCGTTGGAATAGTAGGAAGTTCATTCCATTTACAATTAGTTGTGTCGACATCTTGAAATCCTGACACTTTCTTTGCCAATACCTTTCCAAGGTCCACCAAATATTTCACACCTTGACATTTGGAGTTGTCTTCGATGGCGTTGGCTAAATGTTCCGCCACGTTCCATATTTGTGTTGCTGTTTGAGGGGAAAACTGTATCATTAATACCAGGAGTGATTTCAATCTCTCGCTGTCGTCACTGGTAAATAGAGATATCAACCAATTGTAAAACTTCTTCACAAAAAAGCACCTCAAAACATTATTTAAACAAATAACAGTCACAACTATTGACGGTTTATTAACAGTCACAATTTACTGGTTTACTTGGTTAAAGCAATCTGAAATGGAATTCTTACATTAAAGAAATTACACGCAAAGAAAACAGAAGATTATATCATCTCATGGAATTGCAATTTACTGCATTAAAGTACGACCGCTGCTCGAGTATGGACTCTGCTGCACCAATCTGGGATGGTCTAATTCTCTACATAGTGAACGATTTGGAGCGTATTCAAGGGGGAAGCCTACGCATGCATTACTGGAATGAAGATAGAAATTAACACTTCAAATACAATAATCCGTGTTATGCCGATCTTGTTCCTGTTGCACATAAACATGTTATTATGTTAAATCTAAGAACAACAGTGCCAGTGTAAGCAAAATAACATCCAGAATTGAAAGACATCATCGGGCAAGCCTCAACGGAACTTTTAGTATTTGTATACTATATATCGATTTGTAAGTCCACTGTATTTTTCAACCTCGTTAATAATTTCATAAGGCTTATTCTCCATTCACGCCAATTCCCGACTTCGTCCAAAACGTACAGCCAATAGGCATTTCAAACACTTCAGCGAATCAGTTCATATATACAGTATGCCTCATTAAACAGGCCTGGCTTAAATTAACCGTAACTTTAATCTCCAAACTCATTAGCAAGGAAAAGTTTGTAAGCACTAACTTTCTTGCACCAATAGCTGGGTACCACCTACCTGTTCAGTTCACTGGCATTATTTTGAACGAACTGCGGCAATACGACGATGAAAAACAAGGAGGACGTAAGACCTTCCAGAAACCGTTCACAATATTTTTCACTTTTCTTGGACAAATTCTTTGACAACAGGAAAGACAATTCTATAACATCTTTTACACATTGAATATTATCCTTAAATAGCTCTTCGTCATTTTTTATATGGTCCCAAATCCCTTGATTTCTAAAAAAAATACAACTAATATATAAGTATTAAAAATAAATAAGAATATAAGTATTTAAAATCAATTTCAAACCAAAGTTGTAGCCCTGAGGACATATTAAATATATTCCCCGAGCCAAATGCGTAAGCTCGGGACGAGGGTACTAATTCCGCTTGGCTATTTTCACCATAAAGGAAAGCATTAGCGAAGTCTAAAGTTCATCAATAATAGGGAGGGCGCGTGGCTATGTTTCATCGTGGTTATCTCTTCACAAATTTATGGGGGTGAAAGACATTATATTCAGAAACCGGAAAAATCGTGGAATGAGTCGAGCACAGCCAAGTTTGTGCTTCAGTTTTTGTTAGTGCCAAGGCGAGCGATTTGTGCATGCGTGTATTTCTAGTTATAATATAAGTGGGACATAACAGGTGGAAAATATAATAATGCACTGTCTTGATTTCTCAATTATTCTCGGTTTGTCTACGGTTTCTTGGTAAAACAATGTAAGAGGAATTATACAGTGCCATTTAATCCCATATTTACTAGGAAACACGAAAGAATAGACCGAAAATGAAGTGCAATAGTAGTCAACAAGATACAATGGGACAGGAAAGGCAAAGAAATTTTCGCAGCTGTTTTTGAGTCTGAAATAAACTAGCCGAGAAAAACTACGAAAAGCTACAAGAATACACAAAAACATTAGAAAAGAAATATATAATAATAATTTAAAAAAAAAAAAACTCGAACTCTACGGATTTCGTACCAAATCCGGCTTGTAAGATGTAGCAAAACAACACGAAGTTCGTCTCCTTGTCAGGGTGGGTTGTTTTTGTGATTTTCCAATATTTTCCCCCAGTGTATTAAGTAACCATATAACTTCCAAAGTTTGCCATGCTTTTGTGCCTTTGCCCGCGTGAAAATTCAATCTTGGTGCTAGGCGACGAGAAAAAGCGTGCGTGTGTCGTCGCTGATTACATGTTAGGAGAATTCCAGAATCGATCTTTCAAATAAAATTGCTTACTGGTTCTTTTATTATTAAAATAAATAAAAATTAAAACCTCGTCTGCGTTTGCGGTGTGACAATACACTTGGGGAATACACATTTCTCGTGTTCTCCCAACTTATTTCTCGTGCATTAGAAAGCTTACAAGCGACGTTTTTGTCAACAAGGACGTCGCCCGAAAATGGGTAGATTTAATTTTGGCGCCAATTTCCATCATAGCACTCGTGAAAGGAAGCAAAAAAACGTGAGAAATCTTATGTTTTGTCGTATGTGTGAATGATTACATGCACAAACTGATGCAAACAGTTTTTGAACCAGTCCCCCTCGACAATCTGACTTATTTTGACGACCGTATTGACAATAACATCGCCTGCTTAAGGCTCCCTATTATCACACCATATAACGCACGCGTCTCGTTCAAAATAGAAAATCAGCATGAGGACGCAGGGTCCGCCTCGCCCAAAATTCATAAATTTCGGCAAGGTGTGCTAAAATACATTCATTACAATAATACAATAATTCAATACAATAAAATTTTATAACGCCACGTACGGTAAAACCTTCAGTATACACCATTTTACGAAAAGAAAAACATTTAACTGGTTTACAAGATTGCCGTGTGGGAGTCTGCGTAACTATATATACCGCTAAAATTATTATAAAAGTCATTTGTTAAAAGTCATTTCTTAAATTAGGAAAGTAGTGGAATCATGGGTATAACTTGCGGTAAACTATTCCACAATCGTGCCCGCCCACTGTAACTCAGGCTTCTTTTTAGGAAATTAATTAGTGCGCGGCTTGGGTGAGTTGGGTAAGTTTACTTTGACTTCAGAATTCCTGAAATTATACCTCGTGCCACGAAGAGAGAAAAGATTTTGCAAGTAAGGGGGCGTATGCTCTTTCAGTATCCGAACATCAAATTAGTTTTAAATTTCTTGCGTCTCAAAGAGAGCTTATCAAATACAACTGTTCCTATAACAAACAGCAGGGATAGTCCCTTCAATATCGTTTTCTTGAAATTGAGTAAAAATAAGAAAACATTTCCAAAAGTTTTGAAAAGAAATACGTTTCACGGTATCGCGTGTACGCAACAGGATACGCTATTGGAATGCTTTATGATATTAAATTTATAGTGTTCGCACGTTGTCATTAAAGTCCTTTGCAGTCCAAGAAAATTTGTTTACCTTTGACCAGTTTGATTTCTTTTTAATTTTGCATTTCATTTGACTGAAGCCACGAAATATTGCAAACCAACGTAATGACCTTTTGCTTTTAGATTAATGACTTGAATTTATCAATATGTCTTGGGCGCACTAATAATTAACAGTTATTCTGCAAAGTCGAGTCATATATCAGCCGATAGCCGACGAGGTGCAGAGCAACGATGTCCGTCGCTAGCAGTCACATACGACAAGAGTGAGCAGAATAATGAAAATCGAAAAATTGATCGCGGAGCCGGCGCAAGAGGCGTGGCAACATGTGCAATGATGGCTCGTTTGGTATGAGAAGTGCAAAGCCAGAGTTTCACAAATCGAGACTAAATTCATGATCTCTTCATGGCAAAATTTAGTGAATAGTGCCCTTAATTTTAGACACGAGTTTAAAAGTTTGGTTAGGGGCCATTCACAAAGGATGTCCAGTCACATTATGGATTTTCAGACACCCTCCCCCCCCCTCCATTGTCCGGCGTTGTTCGAATTAGTGAATCCCCCTCCCTCGAACATCCGCCATGTCTCGCAAAAACTTACGCAACCTTGTATATGTCAAGAGTAAAAAAGATTTTTTACTTTTAGCACTTTGTTTATAACTATAAAATGTAAATACAAAAAGAGTTATAAGTTATACTCAGAAATAATACCTTTTGCACAAATTGTCAAAAACAGTCAGGCTAGATTCGTCCTGTGAAAAAAGTTTCAAAACGTCTCCAATAAAACTTGCTTTAGCGTCACGAGTTTCTGTTCCTCCCAGTCCTGTGGATCTGTGAAATATGAAAAGTGTCAATAATCAATGAACAACCCCCTCTATCTACATTTCACTGTACATATAGGATGATTTGTTGGACAATGCGAAACTGAACGTCGTTCATTCTGAACAGCTAGCTAGGGTATATACCAAAACAAGACGACTATATTTGCCATGAAGTAACGCTTCTAATCTGTTTAGAGAACATTAGTAATGGATTTTAAGTTCCCCTAGTTACAAAGAACGTAACTCTTAAATCTGCAATACAACCATAATTTCTAATATTTTTGTTTCCAAAATATCTCTGTTTATTTGATGTCTCAATGAACAGAATCTAGATAAGACGATCTATGCCAACTACACATTTTGAAATGCTGAACGTTTCCGGCAACATTAAAACAAACTAGCAAAAGCGGACCGAGAAAGGATAGGGAAGGTGCTGGCCATTAATGGCTTTTATGTAGACACAAATTGAAAACTCTAAGTGATTGTGTTAAATGTGATGAAGGATTTTGGGAAAGTAGTCAGTATGATATATTCATGTGCGTCAATATGTGTTGACTTTCTTTCATGGAGTTGGCGTCTACCTATTTTATATTACTAATATTTATTATCCATGTTACCTCTGGGAAAAGGTTTGATCATTGTGTGTGTGCGTGTGTGTCCGTCGCCACGATGTTTCAAAATTTTTTAACAACTTCAATTTGGCACATAAAAAACTGAATATTTACACAACTTAAACGGACAATTACATTGTACAAGAAGACGAGGAAAGTGCCAAAAGAGGCGAAACACAAACGAGACTATGTCCCATGCAAGGTGCCTCACCACTAGACAAGAAACAAAGACAAGGAAGATTAAATGAAAAGACTAAGAGAATGAAAAGGCAGAGAGAATGAAAAGGCAAAGAGAGAAATGTTAGATATTTTATTGAGTCGTGATAAGTGAGTGTGAACTAGGTAAGTCAGGAGTGTAGGAAGTACTAGTGAGGTGGATGTAAGTCTTGCGCAAGTATGATTTAAAAGAGGAGACAGTGACATAACAATACGAAGGAGCAGACGTACAAACATAGTTCCACAGTTTAACAATTCTAACAAAATACGAACTTTGAAATGTACTTGTTTTGCATGCTTGTCTTCTCAGAAGACCAACAAAAAGACCTTCAACATACTGCGATATGTCAAAATCTGTGAGACCGTACATGCATTTATAGAAAAAAATCAAGTCCTTCTGTCCTCTGTCGTATACAAACGGGAATAAATTAAGTTGCGTTAAGCGCTGCTTGTAACTTAGTTCTCCGCGTTTCTTCTTTAGTATTTCACAGCGTTGCTCTTCTTTGAACTCCTTCGATTTTCTTTGATAAGTAGCTGTTGTTAGGAGGGCACCATACCTCGCTCCCACAATCAAGTTGAGATTTAACTAGTGTTAGATATAAGGTCCGTCTGACCTGGGTGTGGTTAATGTCAAAGCATGAGCGTTTGAGGATACCAAGCATTTTATTTGCCTCCGCCACCATCTTGAGTATGTGTGGGCCCCATTTCAAATTGCTTGTCACGAGCATACCAAGATCTTTCTCGACTTGACAAGGAGATAATTCATTACCATATATGCGATATGGAAATCGCGTTGGATGTTGCTTTCTTGATATTGTCAGCACTTTACACTTTTCAGTGTTAAATCGCATTTTTGAATCAGTGCTCCACTTTTCCAGTTTTGCAAGATCGTCTTGCAAGAACTGGCAATCTTCTACCGATTTTATCTCTCTGTATAACTTTGAATCATCTGCATACAGTGCTGAGTTCGTACTGTGTGAAACATTATCGGGAAGATCATTTATGAATATGACAAAGAGCAACGTACGGTCCCAGAATGCTGCCTTGCGGTACACCTGATGTTACTGGAGACCATGTAGAGGCTGCACCATCAATGACAACTCGCTGCCATATATCGTTCAAGTAGTTTTCGAACCATCGTAAAAGCGTTCCGTTTATGCCATGCATTTGTAGTTTGTGAAGTATGATGTCATGATCTACAGAGTCGACCGCTTTCGAGAAATCTAGGTATAGCACATCGATTTGTTTGTTTTGGTCCAGATTTTTACATGAACGATTTCTTAGGAAGCCATGTTGGACATTATTGATCAGTACACGAACAAAGGGGTAAATGTTATTGGCAGAAGGGAAATGGGACGGTAGTTGGTCACGGATTCGACACAGTCTTTTTTGTGGATGGGTATAACGTTCGCATGTTTCCATTCCATAGGTAGGCGGCCTGTTGTTAAGGACATGTTGAACAAACTACAGAGGCTTGTCGAGATTTCTCTTGAGAATTCTTTCAGTAGACGTGGTGGTATTCCGTCTTGGCCATAAGCCTTAGTTGTGTCCAAATGGTTAAGGGACTGCTCAACTTCATTCTGCGAGATCTGAATATCAAATGTTATTTCTTCAGTTTTTGGTGTCATGTTCAGGTTTACATCTTTGGAAGAAGACTTCGGAAGAAAAACAAAGGCGAAGAATGCGTTGAAAAGTTCTGCTTTTTTGTGTGGTGTTGTTGCAGTTGAGTTGTTGTACGTGTTAGCAGGTGGGGAATTTCTATTGCGGAGGATATGTTTGTGTTAGGACCAGAATAACTTAGGCGATTTTGCGAGGGAATCTTGAACTTTTTCTATGTATTGATGGCGTTTTTGTTTAATCAAGCCCTTTGTTTCCTGTGTCAACTGACGGAGTTTGCGTTTTCGTCTTCCGTTTGTTTCTGACGATATTGTCGTAGAGCTGTGTATTTCTTCTTAATCATGTGTTTAACATCCCGGTCTATCCAAGGTGGTGTGTTGGTGTCAACGACTGTCTTTTTCGATACAAATTTATCTATTGCGGTGAGAAATAGATCTGTCCATGCTTTCCAACATTCATCTATATATGAATTATCGGATATCGCAGAATCGAGAGGGACATTCACTAGATGTTCACGAGCACCGTCGAAGTTTGCATTATTGAAGTCATACACTGTTCGTCTTATCGATTTTGCTTTTTGAAAACAATCTTTGATATCCAACTCGATAAGGTAATGATCAGTTGGAAATAGATCAGTTGGATTTGTGCAGTTCACGTTCGTGATGAGCTTCGGAGAATTCGAGAATACACAGTCCAATTTATTACCACGCAGGTGTGTCGGACCGACAGCTTTTTGATAGAGGAATTGATCTGTAATAATCTCGCAAAAAGTTCCTCCTTGAAACTGCCTTTTGATGTGGGAGAAGGAAAGTCCAATGACCAGTCAATATTGGGTAGGTTAAAATCACCGACCATAACAAGTTGACATGATTCATCAAGAGAGATCAAGAGAGTCTCTCAACTCGATTAGTATATCTTCTTCAGAATTTGGTGGTCCATAGAAGAGACTTAAAAGGAATTTCGAGCAGTTCGCAGGATACAGTTCGATCATGAGATGTTCACTTTGTTGATCTTCTAGCAGTCTTCGAGATGAGCGCAGTTCGTTTCTTACCGCTACAAGGACTCCACCACCTCTCATGTTCCCGTGTCGGTCTTTTCTATGAATGGTATAACCGGGTAGAATTTCGTTATCAAGAATTAATTCATTTAACCAGGTTTCGCACACACATACGATATCGTACTGTTCGAGATAAACAAGATTCTGAAGAATGGTCAACTTGCTGGTTTTCTTTGCCTTGTCCGTGGATTCTGCAGTTGCCTTTAGACTACGAGCGTTTAGATACAACGCTCTTAAACTGTTCAGTTTTGCCCCAACTTGTTTTCTCGAACTACTCAAAGCTGGTACTGGATTAGGATGCACATCGCCACAGGCTAGAATAGCTGTAGTAATCAAGTTGTATGACGCAGTGGTATTGCTGTAGTACTGAATCCTGGACTTGAGTCATTTGTGCTTTGTTGGGATTGACGCAGATACTTTATACGAATGGGTGGGTTTACCGAGAACGGAATATGACAACGTTCGATACGAATACGGTACAGTCGCGATACAAATGGCCACATGAAGTAAAAGAGTCACTGCGATCAAACTTTGAAGCAGTTTATTTGAATGTAACATAATTCTGGCAAGATCTTTAATTCTAATTATCTACCACATCACCATCACAAAATATCTGACTGTGAATCACAGCTTCGCAGTGTTGAACACTCCGAAGGATGCAGCCAGGCTTGTGCATTATAATTATTTGACTTGGCTATATATACACTATATTGATTTAGAGTCCGGATTGTTTTGGTGTTCGTTAATATTTTGCCACCTTAAATAGACACGATGATCTTGAAGGGGAGTCTCAATCTCGATCGCATTCCCCACCCTAAGTGCTATTCTTGTAGTCAAAAATAGGAAATAGGGCAAATCGGCCGAGTTCGCATTTTACCCCTTGAGGACGCTCAGACAAGAACGTAAACATTGTTCTGAATCTAAGGTTCTAATCACAAATACAAGCAAATGACGGCCTGATGGCTCCAGATTGGCCAATCTTGGTCCAGCTCCAGATACGAGGTTCCAGATTGGCCAATCTTGGTCCAGCTCCAGATACGATTCCAAATTGGTGCGGGAACGACAATCTCAAACCCTGAGCCTGCAATCCTCTGCCAAGAACGACCGGTTTGTAAACAAATTGCTTTGGCCGCTTAACCATGCACTAATGGAGGTTCAACCCTTTTCACTTATCATATTCCTTAGTACGTGAGGAAAAATGAAAACATTATTCCGTTCCGTTCGTCCATGGTGGCTTGTAAATGCTCGCTGTTTCCCTGACAAATTGCTGGTCAGCGGTCGGAGGGATCGGCAAAGCTCATTTAAACCCTTATTTTTTTACCTTTATAATAGCGCCGAGCCTGCTTTACGCGCACTGTTTGCCTGCGAATCGGGCCTTTCAGAACCGGAAATCGGGCTGGAGCACGTATTCGTTCTTTTGATTCGGCAAAAAAATACGACAAATGGCAAAATTCGCACGGTGCTCGTTTGCAAAAACAACTGCAAACTGCTTTAATTCTTTCTGTTAATTTCATTCGATCTCATCCGCGATTCGGCCTCAACGGCCTTTGATCCAGTTTTTATGGACTCCCACATCACACACTTTCCCCAATAATAGACAATTACTTCCTTGTGCTTCTCCCCCTTAAAGTATTTAAATATAGCTAATGTCAATAATGCAACAGAGGTGTGTCTATAACAACACAACAATGATCTTTCTAAAGAAAGTATTCAAAAGTAATTTCAAGCTAATCGCGATAAGTCGCGCAAAGTTGAGCTGTCTAATTCCACGCATGGCTCGGTTGTATCAATTTTATCCTTCCGTAAATACAACAATTAACTTTGGTATCGGTAACTTTACGCTTTAAAGAGTAAGATATTGAACTGTTATATTAATGACGCAATATCATGTGTTGTGCGCTCATTTAAATTGAACAAACGATATAAATCCTTAATATCTGAAACACACAACGCAAACAAGATGGCTAAAAATGGTGTTATTATATCAGAATTGTTGCCTTTCCATGATTTTTTTAAAAAATTACACTTCTAGACTAGCTGATATTCATACTATCATATTCTATAGCATTACTATTGTATTCTATAGCGCTTTCGGATACATATAGTTGCATGAGCAACTCATGAGAACACTAGCATTCGTTACTGAGATGTGAAATATTAAACTTAAACAATAATCCATCTTATCTGGCACGTGCCGGACATTTAAATTAATGATCTCAGGGAAAACCCGTATTAACTATGTGTCCTTTTTTAACACATGCTTGTACAAGTTTAATTGATATGACATGAATTATATACACAAAACTGTAAACATTATGCACAGTATTGTATTCTATACTATGATGCTAGCACAATTTTAAATTCATTATTATCAAGGCATATACAGGGTGTATAAAAAAAACCGCAACCTCGGAATTCCTAAGAAATCACTTTGCAATTCTTAAGCATAAAAGATTTTAGGCCCCTGGGAATTGAAATCGAATTGCTAATAGATTGCTAGTAATTTTGACAGTTGTGCTATTTTAAATTCCAAGGCGCCTAAAATCTTTTGTCTTTAAAACAATGTCGATGTCTTGGGAAATTCCGAGGTTGCGCTTTTTTTTATGCACCCTGTACTGTATACGGCCTGTTTCAAACGTCGCGCTTCTCATGTGCCGAATGCATTTAGTAGAAACAATAGATATAAGCATTTCAGCTGATTAGCTATTGTTTTTAATGCATTCGGTACATGAGAAGCGCGATGTTTGAAACAAGCCTAAAACGCATTTGACGCCGGCTTTGTATAAAGGCTTAAAAAACTCATTAATAATTCATGAAGAAAACACAAAGAAAAATCATAAGCGTGCCGTATCTGTATATATGTGATACAGAGTTGTTTTACATAAATTTTAACTTTGATTTTCTCGGCTTAGACAACGTTTATTTTTAAAATTACTTCGCCAATGAACTTATAAGATGAGTCGTGCGTGTTGTATCGGATATACAAACTCTCGCCTTCGGCTCGAGTTTGTATATCCGATACAACACGGCCGCTCATGTTGTAAATAGTACATATAAAACGCTATGTATTTTTAATCATATTGGACTCCCTTCGGGCCCTTGTTAACTGTTAATGAGATCAATTGTTAGCTTTCCTCCCACATGGCCGCCATGACATCGATTGCAAACCAAGAATATAAGGTGTCCCAAAAAATGTCCCCTCTGTTGTTTGTTAATTATTATAAGTTATAGTAATTAACCAACAACAAGGGGTTGCTCCATTTACAGTTCTAGAACATTTGGAACACTGTTCAGGAACGATATGAAAGTTTATTATATATGCGTGCTACCATGCATTACTATATTCATTAGTTACTCGCATAATAAATAGTATAATGATTTGCTGTTATTCGTACTAGATCCGAGTATGCCTTTGCAACGTTTTTACTCTTTGATTTTGCCCAATTGCAACCCTGGCGTTCAAATAACATATAATATAAGTATATGTCGATATATAGTGGTTAACCCTTCAAAATAACACTCTGTGCAGTGTGCATTTTATACACAAAATCTGTCGCCTCCATTCCCAATCACATGAAAATGGGCAGTGTCACGTGTTCTGTTCTAGCTGAGACTGTTCTACACACGCAAAAATCTCTCATCTTATTACAGGTTTGTCAACAAGCCGTCAACAAGTCGTCTTCGCACTGCTTGTCACACGTTGTCAACAAGTTTGGAACAAGCTGTTAACAATTTGTAACAACCTTGTTGATATTATCAGGCTTGTTCCAAGGTTGTTCCAACAAGTCCGATACAGTCATGATATATAGCAGTATTGTTACAACCTTGTGCCGGTCGTCAACCTTGTAACATTCTTGTTTATTATGACTGTATCAGACTTGTTAGAAAATCTTGTTACACGTCTGATAATGCCATCAAGCTTGTTACAAGTTGTTAACAGCTTGTTCCAAACTTCTTACAACAACTGGGAACAAGCAGTGCGAACACAGCTTGTTGACAGCTTGTGAACAGATGTGTATGCCTACCATTTCCCGAACCAAGGTTGCCAGATTGCTGAATAAATAAGCCAAATACTATTATGATAATTAACCTTTTGTTTACGTTGCCGTTTGAAAAAAACGAAATCAAAGGGCCGCTTATAACAATGTTTGGCTTATTTATTCAGCAATCTGGTAATCCTGTTCCCCCAACAACGAAAATTGCCTTATTTTTGCATCATTAAATATTCACGTGCATTTGACCCGGTGAAACTGAATATATAAATAAATTTGCATTGCCCACGTTTTAGTTAATACGGTTTTCCCCCGAGATTATTAAATGTCCGGAACGTGCCAGATAACACGGATAATGGTTATCGTTTACGTTTGATATTTCACATCTCTTGAAAGTTGATTTTTCATGTCAGTAACGAATGATCGTGTTCTCATGAGTTGCTCATGCTGAATATGTATCCTAAAGTTTCAAATGTTATCAGTAGTAGGTAACCCCCCCCCCCCATATAGCACCGGAAGTGATTCAAGCGAATGACGTCAACAGGGGGTGTACGTCCGGGCGTTCGTCCAGGCGTTCGTACGTGGTACGTCCAAGCGTTCGTAGTTAGTGTACGTCCAGTTTAGTTTGCATTACGTAATTGTATTGCACATGTCCTGACCAAGTATGCGTTCTTCAAGGTCGAATAATGTTGACGAAGTTTCGCCTATGGAATTTCGGAAGCTATGCAATTTGTTAGAGACAATATTTGCACAAACTGTTTCTTGCAAGGTTTATGAGCTTTTCGAAGAGAGGTGCTGTGGTTGTAAACTAAATCGCTTTAGTCAGAATGAGTGTCTTATGTTATCGTATGAGGAGAGATCGCAGATGTATGATTTGGAAGCCATAGAGCGAGTTAGCAAAAAAGACGTGGTATGGAATAAGTTTGTTGAGGTGACCAAAGTTTTAGAGCTTCACTGGGATGAAAACGTGTTTGAATATTGGAATCAATTGAGGAGAGACCCCATGTATGTTAAATCAATGATGAGTGTGGAGAACAGTGAGATGCTGAGTATTCTAGACCAACTTTCTAACTGCAAAGAGGATTGTTGTGATGACCCACTTGAACCTGGGGCTATGGTCTTTTTCTCAATGCCCCCTAGTTTTAAGTATACTGTGAAAGCGACAGGCGAGCAATTTAGAAGTCATGAAGAAGATCATTATAAGGCATATGTGGAATATTTGAGAAGTAAACTTTGAGATTCAGTGTAAATATGTTAATAATCGAGTTTCGTTTTTATTCTTTTTTGTAAAAGCCTCTACTTCCACTTTTGCGCAGTGTTGATAAGCGTTG